GACATCGGCCCCATCCTTCAACTCGTCTACGAACCAACAGAAAAACATTTCCGAAGTAATTCTAAATTTTCCCAAATTTTTCAATAATTTCCTCACTTGTTCCGATGACAATTTCTCTTTTTAACTCTTTATTGACTAGTCATTAAAATTGACGGAACTTCTGCCTTGGGCAAAAAATAAAATTCTGCCAAAATTTCAAAGGGTGGGATTTGTATCTCAGAGTAGGACGATAAAGAGCTCACCGGACACGTCCGATGAAAGGCCGCCTCCAACTGCTCATCCAAATCTTGGAGTGAAGCATTAAGATTGCCGCCGAAACTGAAGGCAACCGAGTCGACTAATGGATAGAAGACTCCACTAAACGCTGACAGGTCGCGCGAGAATCTCGCGTTGAGAGTGCCCTATACCGATGTATGAGTTGAGATTAGAGAGTTAGAAAATGCGATGAGCTGAAGAACGGTGGAGGTCACGAAAGGGAATTACATAGCGATCAAGTTGACGTGCTGGCAACCACCGTATCGGGCAAAGTAGTGGAGGAGAGTACCTGTCATAAGGGAAGTAGTACCCTTCAACGAGCCCTATGCGAGAGATCCGCGATAAAGCCATGGAGCCAGGCACGATGCATCGGGAACACACACTGATTCCAAATGTCTACTATTGATCCAATTAGTTTGATATGAGAGTTTATTCCACTTCAGCGACGCCCTACAGTCTTTCGTACACTGAAATGCCTTGCAGTAAAATGAGTCATGAAATGTAATGCCTATTGTGCACGCAGCTTACATCTGTTCCAACGTGTGGATAATATTGCATCTCGATTGAGCACCAAGGCCACATACAGTATCTCAGGGAGCAAGTTCCTTCGTTTGACCATAGAAAAGAGCGATCTCAGCATAACATTGACATCCGATGGGAGACTAAGGATCGTTATATGTCCGAAAGTTGAAGAATCACTCACAGTGGGGATCCCAACGATGTGCAGATTCCCGCCATCCCATAACTGCGGACTGCCTCGCAAAGTAGAGAACTAGGATTAACAAGGCCACCACGTCTCGCCTCTCGAGAGGAGATGCTGCTGGACAACACGGTATACAACTAAAGTGATGATATGATAAGACGATATGTAGAGGGTTGCTACACTGGAGGATGCTCGAGCGACCCTGTGCAGATCGGCGGGAGTGAGGAACATCCCAACTTCAAAGAGGATTTCAGGACGGTGGATCAGAGTAGACGCGACGTTCGTCGAAGCCGTAGAATCCATTAATCCAATTGGCTGCTGAGAGGTGGATAACATAGGGAGGGATTGGTGTCACTATCAGCCAAGAAAACGAGTCCTTTCTTACACGCACACGCACGTACGATTAGATCAATCGGTAGAGCACACGGATATCAATGTACCGGTCGTGGGTTCGAGCCACGGGAATGACAGACAAACTCCAGCTCACTTATTGCTATCCAATGGCTCTGACGGTTGCTGGGCTACGACTCGCCGTAGAGTTTCGTCGATTCTCGAACTCGAAGCCGATCCCCTCAAGAACCATAGATGAGCTCCAGTCGAAGACTCCCTGATCGGTTGGTCTGTGTGACACAGTCTGTGCCCATACGATAGAAGTATACCATATTATATTCTTGAAGGTACTATAGACTCTATAGTAGCCTCTAGAGTTGAATAACTCATGCAAGGCATCGGTCCCTGGCTTACGCCCTTCGGCGATATTCAATGGCTCGACACTGCAGCACCCTCACACAATAGCTGGACTGTGCACAAGCCGGGGGCATAGCGGCCCCACCCGTAGTCAACAAATAGATCTCTGAATGGTATAGTCCATAGCGGGGGGCATAGCGGCCCCTCCCCTATTCGGCCGCCCTAAATAGACCTCTGAATGGTATAGTCCATAGCGGGGGGCATAGCGGCCCCTCCCCTATTCGGCCGCCCTAAATAGATCTCTGAATGGTATAGTCCATAGCGGGGGGCATAGCGGCCCCTCCCCTATTCGGCCGCCCTAAATAGATCTCTGAATGGTATAGTCCATAGCGGGGGGCATAGCGGCCCCTCCCCTATTCGGCCGCCCTAAATAGATCTCTGAATGGTATAGTCCATAGCGGGGGGCATAGCGGCCCCTCCCCTATTCGGCCGCCCTAAATAGATCTCTGAATGGTATAGTCCATAGCGGGGGGCATAGCGGCCCCTCCCCTATTCGGCCGCCCTAAATAGATCTCTGAATGGTATAGTCCGTAGCGAGGGGCATAGCGGCCCCTCCCCTATTCGGCCGCCCTAAATAGATCTCTGAATGGTATAGTCCATAGCGGGGGGCATAGCGGCCCCTCCCCTATTCGGCCGCCCTAAATAGATCTCTGAATGGTATAGTCCATAGCGGGGGGCATAGCGGCCCCTCCCCTATTCGGCCGCCCTAAATAGATCTCTGAATGGTATAGTCCGTAGCGAGGGGCATAGCGGCCCCTCCCCTATTCGGCCGCCCTAAATAGATCTCTGAATGGTATAGTCCATAGCGAGGGGCATAGCGGCCCCTCCCCTATTCGGCCGCCCTAAATAGATCTCTGAATGGTATAGTCCATAGCGGGGGGCATAGCGGCCCCTCCCCTATTCGGCCGCCCTAAATAGATCTCTGAATGGTATAGTCCGTAGCGAGGGGCATAGCGGCCCCTCCTATCCGGAAGTGAACCCCCTATTGATAATGGTTTGCCAAAACAACAAAGGATCGCCAGGTGGCCGCCGCCAATATCATTCGTAAAATGAGACGTTGTGCCAGTAATTGAGTCAATCAATAATCAGTCCTCGAACTGCTGAACCCAATTACCAGTAAGTGGTAACCGGAATTATACACGTAGTCTGACATGGTAAACGACTAAACGAGTCACAATTGCAACAACGTTCATTATCAACAGCCTTAACCAGTCAAACAAATAAACAGGGCCCGCGCAGAGAGACGGGCGGAACGATGGTACGTAGTATATTAGCTATACTACAGTGCGAAGGTTAAGGAGTTCCACCATCAGCCACGATGCCGCTGGAAGACTCTCTCTTGGAGCTATAGTGTTATTCGTTCAGGTTTGCCGAAAAGTCAATGGAAAACGCCTTAGCGTGGATTCGAACCCGGGACCATCGATGACGGAGAAGAATTTCGTGGCGCGCGAGAATTTCCCGAAGACGACGACGCCGGCACAGCACGCCAGCGTCACACAGTCTACCCTCTATCAAAGCGTGTATAACAATCACGCTTGGACTAGTATAGCGGATCCCATTCAATGCTTTCCATTTGCCTTGTCATTATCTTGTAGCTCGAAAGCTCCCATCACTCCGCATGCTCTTTCAAAGCAACTTGTCAACGACTTGCACGTGAACTAAAACGTTCATAAAATCTAAAGCGTGCTTGTAGTTGTTTTCTTCACGACTGTAATATATACCTGATGAAGACTGAATTATGCATCACTGGAATTTTCTCTTGTTGATTTCATTGAGATTAGTCCTTGTTTATTACCCTTGTAAATCGTGTCTAATAAGCCCACCATCGATTTACCTGAAGGAGTCGCCGCCACTTCAACAGAAGATGACAGCTGCTCGTTGTCAGCATCCCCCACGTCGTCAATGGAGATAGCAGACACGCCTGAGAGTTCTAAAGGGAGTGGTAGTAGTAAAGGGAGGGATGTATGTGTTTGTAGTTTATATAATTGTGTCGGCGAACTAGATGTGACATTGGAGTTCATATTTGGACCTGCTTTATATCTTACCACGGAGAAGTTAAGATATTCGTTTGTATCTATTTGGACCTGTTTTGTATCTTACCACGGAGGAGTTTAGATATTTGGTTGTACATATTTAGACCTGTTTTGTATCTTACCAAGGGGACCTTGAGATCTTCAGGTGTGACTAGAGGAGTACCGCAACAATCTCGTCCGCCGCTTCCTCGTACGATGCATAACGCGTCACCGCCCTCAATACGGCACAGACGCACGACGTCCAGCGGAGTTCTCAGGAGAGTATCTTATAAAGGGGAAGGGAACGATGATGAGAATGAACAGGAAATTTCAAAGGTCTATGATATACCACTATCGAATAAGGGTGATAATGAGGCGGTCATTTTTACGGGGTAAAATTGCGACGAAAATAATTTTGCGTTGAAGATTTTCGGAAATTTTTTTGCTGAGAAAAAACAAGTGTTCTCGTAAAGTGTGTCAAATTGTCGTAGATTTCTGGGTAAATGATGAATATGTGGTTGATTAAAATTTGCTGAGAAGTTTATTTTTTTCGAAGGGTTGCTGAAATGAAGGATGGCGATTTTAATTGCATGTTATGGAGTTTACGGTATTGAGCAAAATTAGATCGTTTGAACGCACGTGGAAGATTATTTTTATCATTTATGTTATCGCGAGTAATGGTATGGAGTAAGCATCAGTGATGGATCTTGGTTGTCTATCACTTGTGTTGATCTATATTGACGATTTGAATTTCGTGGCGCGCGGTCGTTGGGGAAAAATGTAAAGTTTTTGTTGAGCGTAGGTGCTCCTGAAGCAGTTGATCGATTTGGGATACCTTTCGCTGAGCATCACCTCAAGGGTCAAGGAAATGTTGGACATTTGGGATTTCAGACCGGTAGTAGTAGTTGTTTTTTTGACAAAATTTTTCACTTCGATTGTGGAAAAAAATTGGAAAATTTTCGCCCTCAGAATGCAATCCTACCTGATGCTTTGAAAATGAGGGTGAAGAAGTGGTTTCCGCGGTTTTTATGGTTATGTGCGACGCGAAATGTAAATTATATTTTCGCCGGCATTTTTAATGTGGCGAGTGAAACTCGGTTGCCTTGTGAAGGAAGCGGAAGGTGTTGAATATGTTTTAAAAGGAAGTGTTTGGGTGAATTTTGGGATTTTGGTGGAGTTCGTTGTTGACAGAAAATTTGGAAATTTTGTGGAGAAATTTCCGGGATTTTTCCCATTCGTTTTCGTAGGGTTACGTATCGAAATATATATTTTTTGCAGGAGTGCCACCGATTGTCGTCCAAAGAAGCAACCGCGCGCGCCCGCCATTACATCCGACCACGTCACGGAAGAGCAGTACTGGGGTATCGGCTAATAATCAGAAAAGGTAGCGTTTTTTGGGGGAAAATTTCGGGAATATTTTTACGGAAATGTGAGGAAAATTCCAGTACCTATTGATAGGTTTATGGTTCGAATATCAGCTGAGGTGGTAGGTTAGTATTGTCAAGGTGTTACTGTAGGCGGATGGCTGAAATTTTGGTAATTTTTCAGAAAAAAAACGGAAATTTTGTACTTTTTGTGGAAAAAAATTTCAATATTCTGCTTTTTTTCTGCTCAGGACTGTTGTGACGTTGACTGATCCCCTTCATGATTTGCGGCAAATTCCGGGTGGAGACGAACAGACGCGAAAAGTGTATGTCGCGAAAGCTGATGAGGTGAATAAATGCACCGAGCGGGGATCGAACCACGGACCTTTGGGTTAGGAGCGTGATAATCGAGTTGAGGAAGAGAAGAAGGCTGTAGACTCTTTGGACCCTCCGCTGAAGGCGTGGCCGATCACATCGTTTCTGGTTTTCCGTATTCCTGGTGCTGCAATTTACCTCATAATATGTGCAGCTCTAGCGGCTACTATTTACACGTGGTCGTTGGCATGGATTAAATCGGAAGGTGAGCGGAGCGAAGCGTTGATTGTTTGTGTTTTTTTTATTTGGGTAGGGATGAAAGGTGGAAATTGTGAGAGTTGTTGGGGGCGATAATCGGAAATTTATTGAATTTTTTTGCTTTTAGAGGGAAAATTTAGTATTTTTTTCTGGAAAATATTGAAATTTTTTGAAAATTTTCTTCCGTTTGTTTCACATTCATTGTTTTTGCATCCGTTCAGATACATTCCCGCTTTTCCAGTGCCCGAGTTCATCTGTGATCGAACATGATGTTAACGTCGATGGTACATATTGCCAATTGACCTTCTCGTTTGATAACATCACTAATTACAGAGCAGCTGCTGTGGGCTTTCAAAGTGAGGAATCTTTCTCAGAGCGCCGCGCACAGCGAAGATTTTTTTTATTTGTTTGTTTTTTGAAATTTAGAGGACAATGGAGTCGGCTCGACTTGCTGGATACCATCACGGTATCAATATGAAGATTGTGGACCGGGACATCTCTGCTATGTGAGTATCTTTGCGCACAGGGAAGAAAATATGCGCGTGGTCAATCACAGGTGTTGGTGATGATATGAAAATTGTGAGGAATTTTTCGGAAAATTTTATCCGAATTCATATATATAACCTCCGGAAAGCGAACATATATCCCTCCAACACTGCACAAAATTTTATTTTTGAACTTTGTATGTTGTCGTAGGTGCGATGCAACGCGCCTGTGTCGTGTACGTTGGCTTTGAATGGCCCGTCGGGTCAGCCGTCACCAAAACCGTTTGGTGGCAACTCTTCATGTGCTAAAACGGTGAAGTGGGGAGCGGATGAGAACGATTATATAGTGAGGGGAGGTCGTGGGTTCGATCCCTGGTGAGGGGATTTTTATTAGGACCGTGGATGTACGCAGACAATTTACCTTCAACAAGATCAGGCTACCACGGTGCCTCAAACGGCTATCGCAGTTCAACCGTAAGGGGGGAAAAATTGAAGAAAATTTCATTTTTTTTTGAAATTTTTGGTGAAAATTTCATTTTTTCGTGTTTTTTCCTGCAAAAAAATAGATTTTTTTCATCCGCTGCAATTTGTTATGATATGTATTCATATTTTATTGAGCGATGAAATCGTCACGCGCCACGAAATTGATCGCCCTCATAGGTACTGCGATCTTGGCAGTACCGTCTCGCCCGCAGACATCATCGGCATCAGAGGAATTTTCTTGGGCGCTCTTGTATTTCTACTTATCTATATTGGTAGTCATGAATTCAGCGCTCGCCCAGATGATCGATTTGCTTTTGAACTGTTCAGTGGCAGTATTGACGATTCGTACAGCGTATAAAAGGGTTAGGAAACTCATGCTGCGGAAT